ATTTCCTAAATAAAACATATTTATCATTTAACAAACTAGTGGATGAGTAATGTGGTTTCTTTATGCCCCTCCTATATGGAGGATCTTAGTTTAAGTCATGTGATAGTAAAAATGGGCTAAGGTTGTGTTTTATTTTATAATGAGATTCTTCTGTTGTCCTACTGGCCTTAATTAATTGCTGCAACCTTCTGTCTCCAAGGATACTGTCTCCAAAGAAGCTATAGTAGGCAAACTTTTTTTAACCTCAAATTTTATTACTCACAAGATTCATTAGTGACATTGTTTCTGGGTCACCAGGGACTCCATTTATTCATTTAACTGTGTTTTTATCAAATGAGGCAAATGTTAAGCTAGATATAAAAAATATGCTTTCTACCTTGAGAGGTCAGAATAGCAACTCTCCTGAAACTGGAGAAGATTCCTGACATTCCACAGCCTTCGGATTATAATATTTTTTATGGTTTGTTTTTTTTTTTTTTTAGAGAGAGTGTTAATAAGGCAACAGGAAGTCCAAGTAATTGGTTGAAGGTGGATACTTTAGAGAGGTCTATGTATCTTAGAGTTGTCACAAATGTGACAGTGACTTCATAAGCAAAAGTGACCAGAAATTCATATGAAAAGCTTCATCTCGACCACCCATTTCAATTTAGGAGTTTTAGGATTTCATCGTTTCACCAACCAATAAAACAATGATTGACAGTCATAATAGTGAGATAAAGTTTCTCATTTTAATTATACTTTATTTTTTGTGATCTGAGTTTTATTATGCTCTGTAAGGAAAAACGTATTTTACTTATCTCTTCAAAATCTGAAATGTGAGTGATAATTTCTACATTTGGTAGAGCATTCATTTTTTTCATTTTATAATATGGTTTCTCTTGGATATATAAATGTTATTTTATGAGAGATTCTAATGCAGAACAATGTATAGACTTTTAAATGTTAAAATTTGATAGCTACCCAGAAATATATAATATTATCTATATTGTCAACTTCACATCAAAAAATAAGATATATATGCATATAATTATGTTAACACACTCCTAATTCTCCAAAAAGAACTACAAATTGGCTGAAGTTATATCACCTTATTAGAGATCCCCGTTTTCATTGCAAACATATAGTTTGAAAGTAAAATGAACAAAAACCAGTTCGTCACACTTCACTGTAAGTATTTTTTAAATCTTGCTTTATTATACCTTGTAATACCCTAAAGGGAAAAAAACTTTTTTAGAGCACTGATTAATGTCCAATGATGATAGGTCTGAGTAACTTTACTCAGGGATGTGACGCCTTTGTTGCCTGAGAGATAAGAAGGAGGGCTAGAGAAATAAATTATACCAGAAGATTATGTAAAGAAAAGGCACTTTCTCTGTTATCAGCTATGAAGGCAATAAACAAAAGCAGAAATGTTAATCCTCTTTAAAAGTAAATGTAAAAAAGAAACTCAACAACAGGTTTGAAGACATAGAAAATTTAAATAAAAGTTAATATAAAAATATTTTGAATCAGGAGTCCAAATAGGAAGGAAAATAGCTTTGCAGATGTCTGGAAAACATGCTATGGATAAATCCATTTAGAAACGTTTGTTGGACAATTGAAAGTGTATCTGGGACTGTGTTAGTTGCTTTGGCTATTATGCTATTATGGTGAAAAAGACACACATTTCGTGCCCCACAAGTTAATATTCTTTCTGAAGTGTCAATATAGTAGTAAGCACTGTTTTCAATGGGGATTACAGCTAGCATAGTCATCAGACTTGCAGGAAATTTTCCAGAGGGCTTAAAACTGAAGTTGAAAACCAATGAAAAAAATAGAAGTTGCTCAGGTAAGTGGAGGACAGAAAACAAATTCTGTGTAAAGCATTTACTAAAATAGCTGGTACATTGAATGTGCTCAATAAATGTAGTCTATTATCTGTATTGAAAGAAACATATTAAGAAAAGGAACGACTGCATGAAAGATTGAGAAGGTGGTGAGTTTTATTTGTTGTGTGGTGAATTTGAAGTCCACGTGAAATGTTCACGTAGATAATTCAGGTTGCACCTGAGAATCAGAAAGGAATATCACAAAATAAAGACACAGATTTAGTAATGATCACCTGAAAGATATTTCAAAGCATAAGAATTGACGAAAATACAGAGTGGGTATGGGTATGGTGAGAAGTAAAAAGAAATAAAAGAACTAACATATTT